TTAGTGTAACTCACTCATTTATTATTAACCATTTTAGATCAGAACGACTAAGACTTAAATCTTGAACAACAAGAAAACTAGCTAGAAGATTTCCTATATGTTTCTCCCGTAGCCCTCACAGGCGTTTTAATCAAACTGTGCAAGGAATATAACTCTAAATTATAAACTTCTTATGTTAATTTATAAATTTCAGTATTATTTTATTTTCCTATTTTTTGGACTTTTACACATTTTGTTTCATAAAAACATAAAGGTAAGATAATAATTGATTTTTACTTCATGTACTACTAACTTTTATTTAAATTAGTTTTTATCTCAATTTATGGTGAAATTAGTTCATGTACTTTTAAAAGATTTTCAATTTAATCGTCTCTTAACCCACCGTTAGGTTTGATGTCGCATATTAAATTTAATAACACATGACATTTTTTGTTTAGTTTATGTATTAGTGAATATCACGTGATTTAATGCGACATTTTTAAAAAATAAATATTAACTGATACAAATTGGTCCATGATAAAAAAAAATTAACCACAAAAAATTAACCCATCCAAAAATACAAGTCCTAAAAAATCTCCCTTTTCTCTTCCATCGCACAGATATTCATCTTCTCTCATCTATCATCTTCTTCAAGCAACTCAATGTGCTTATCTCTTCATTGCACAAAAAGACCTCATTAACCTATTTACTGATTTTTTATCTCTTTGTCGCACTCAGGCCTCACCCATGTCGTCGCACTTTGTTGCTCTCAAGCCTACCTGTGCTTTTTCTTCCCACATCATCAAGCTACTTTTTTTATGAGCTACTACTTCATTATCGCACTAGAGACGATGAATATTTGGATATTATTTAAAGATGCCTTGTTAATTAGGAGGACTAAGAGAAATAATGACAAGATCTTCATCTTATACATCATCTAACGTGACATTTAATTAACATTCATATCAATTAAAAAATATCGCATATTAATAAATTTAATACATAATATCTAAATTGATAGCATCAATTTTTTTTTATTAAAAATAGACTAAATCTAATTTTTTTTTTAAAAAATATAAATTAATTTAATCAAAAATTTAAGTAGAAATTAATTTAAACAAAAATAAACAGTATAAGAATTAATCTGTGAATTTATATTATTAGGGTTGAAAAAAAGATACATAATTTAATTTTGTCTATTAAATGAACAATTTCAATAAATATATTCATAAGAAATCGAATAAGTGAAGATTACAATAGATTATCGATAGTTGGATTTTTTTCAAAACTCTAATTGCTAGGGAGAGAAACTTTTTCAATAAGTTCACATTTCTACAAAATTTCTTTAATTTTGAATACATAAAAGATTGTGAGTATTTTATATACTCTTATAATTAATATAAATAAACTTTCAATAGAAAATATAAAAATTTGCATAATAACCCGAAAACCATACATATACACACACACACGCACGTATGACAATATTTTGCTACTAGTTAATGAAATTATATAGCACCAACAAGAAAGAGGGTGAGAGAAACATAGCAACCACTTATCCTATTTGTTAAATCCATTATGACTTTCTTTGTTTATAATACACAATTCTTCAAGACAAATCTATATGATTACCATATATATGTATGTATATATATATCTATATATCTATAATTGATTGTTTAAATTCCAAGAAATGCAACTACTGAGTAAGGTGGTAGCTAAGAATGTTCATACCCATAATAATTGCATATAAAAATTTTAAAAGAAACCACTTTACATATATAATGATTTTTCAACTACTTGTTAGTGAATATATTACCTAACCAATTTTTCTATAAATAATAATAAATAATTAGCTAAATATTATGAAAAACTTCAAAAATGAATTAAAATATTATGTTAAAAAGGCAATTTATTTTGTAAATTAATGTATACTTTTATTACAGAAATTTAATTTTTATTAATAAATATATAAAAATTAAGCTCATCTATAATTTTACATAAAACAATAGTACGTTTCATATTTCATTAATTCTAATAAATTTTAAAATGTATGTTCCAATTTTAAGTAAAGATTAAAAATTTTAATGCTACTGACAGACCTAATACTAAATTCAAATAGTTAAAATAATAAATAAATAGCTGAAACATAAATCATAGGTGGCTACAGGCCCACTGCTCAGAGAGGGAGCCATGTTCAATTATTTGGACCAGAGCCCATTTATGGGGTTGAAAATGGTGGGCCACGTTGACCCAAAAAAAATGAATTATTTGGAAATTTTTCATTAATTTAATTTTATTATTCTCTCCATTAATTTAAGGATTATGTAATTGTAGGGTGATATTTTTTTTCTTGATTTCTCTTATTTCAAGTTTTATTGTAGATTATATTATATTCCGAGCGGAACTGCCGCCACAAATTAGACCTTCTTTTTAGGAAGAATTATTGCAGGAAGAAAATAATAATGACTACGAAAAATTTAAAAGACAGTTATCATATTAAATTTTTTTAAGATTTAATCAAAATTTAGCTCAGAACTCTACCGCTCGTCGTCGTATTTGATTTAGTATTGTTACCGCAGATGACTTCCAGAGTTATGATGATATTACTTAGAATCATTTTTATTAGAATATTTCTGTTTTTCGTTTCGGACAATTAGTAATAAATTTTTTTTTTTATAGACTTTTGAAAATTTGTTTCATGTAGCTCTTGGCAAGAAAATTTTGAGGAATGGGTACAAGACTCTTTATGTGTAAAACCGATTGTTTATACAATTTGAGATTCTCATGTGAAAATTTATTATGCATATTATAATATCGATAAGAGTGGAAAAATATATATATTTTTAATTTTTAAGTTTTAAGTTTTACTTAATTAAAACTTATCTTACTATGATTCAATTCTTATATTTTAATTACTTAATAAAGATAAATTAGTCATAATTTATTAAGTTAGTGCATATAAATTTTATTTATATATTTAATTTTTGTAGAATCAAACTTTTAGTTTTAGTAATTGAAAAATTAGAAATATTTAAATTAAATATAAAGACAATATTTTCATTTAAATTTATGTTCTGTTTATGTATTGCATTTTTATTTTTTGAAATAATTATAAATCAGTCAAAAATTGGTTAGTTGAAACTTCCTTTTTTTTTTAATTTTTTTCTTGTTCTAAAATTCCGAATCATTCGCGTAAGCCGGTATGTGGAAAACGACGACGTATTAGTTTCCTCATTCAGCATAGACTGCAGAGACTGACTTCGATTTCTTCATTGACGGTATCGGATTCACAGTCTAATGGTCTAAAAATGGTCCATGCAGCGAAATTTCTCTACTCAATCAGACAATCTCTTAGTCGGACTCTATCTCCAGGTTCACCAACTTCCCGCTCCCGGCAATTCTGTAAGTATTATAAGCAAAACTCTGCTTAGTTTTTTCCTTTTCTTTCTGGAAATTTTTTCGGTGGGTTAAGTTTCTCCTTTTTGCAGATAGCGATTTTCAGTCTTTGACGAAATGGGTAAAGCCTGTTGATTCTATACCACATGTTCGTACCTCAAGGTTTCAGTACAGACTAAATTTGCAGAGATATTATATACATAATTTCTGTTTGTCAGGCAAGTAATTTTCATTTTTGTAAAAAGGGTCTCGGTTGTATTCTGTTTTCTATGGCTTATTTGCTTGAAATTCTGGGCACTGGATTTGATTCTTTACGTTTACAATTTTATATTGTCTATAATTGACTGTAATATCTTAGAGCCTACATTGTACTATGTTGGTTTCATGGTGTAAGTAGCTGGTTAAGGTTCTTTTCCACATCGGTCATTGAGTCTAGGACCTTTTTACTTGAAAAGTTTAGTTACTGAATTATGCATTGTTAGGCTCCCTTTGATACAAAAAAATAGTTTTTACTTTTTAAATTAATTTGTATTTCACTCAATAGCTAGTCAATAAGTAGAGAGTGATTATGAAAATAATGTTAGGTCCTATCCTCACAATTGATAATCTATAGAGGAGGGGAAAAATCCTGGTTAACAGATGTTATTCGCGTTCGGGAATTGCAGAGACTTTGAACCATCTTCTGTTGCATTACTCCTCATACTGCCTTTGGTACATTATGCTGGAGTTCCCTGAGATGAGTTGGGTACCTTCTGTTTATGTTGCAAGAGAGGTGGGGACATGGCATGGCATCCAGAGGGATAAGCACATGAGAAGACTTATCTCCTATCCCTCTCACTACCATGTGGACGATTAGGAAGGAAAGAAATCAATTAGCGTTCTAGTTCTCAGCTTTTTCTTTTAGTGGAGTTAGAGATTCATGTTTTCAGACTTAGGGTTTTTGTTTGAGAGTCATCCTTTTGTTTTTGAAGAGGACCTGAGCAGTGGATTTAGATTTTGAGGGACTTATAAAACTTTTGTATATGGGGGGTAACTTCTTGGTGCTTTTTTAACACATATTTGTTACCTTCTCAAAAGATTTAATTATGAAGCTCAGCTTACGTCATTTTAGATAGAACTTTCACAATGTCTTAGGTAATTACGGGAGATTTCTTCTCCAAAAATTATTGATTTTTTTGAACATTGCCTTAACGTGGTATTTCCGCATTTGGATGGAAGCTTGCACCTATCCATTATTGTTTATATTGGTGGACTACCTTTTATTGTAGAGACAAAGTGTTTTAGGTAAGCCATTTTAATTCATTGGTTGACAGGCACATAACTAAAA